CGGGGCCGAGCGCGGCTCCAGGCTGATTAATCACTCGTCCTGACAAATGAAGTGTCATCGCAGCACGGCGCCCTAGTGGAGCGGGCCGCACCACCGCCAGGCCCTGTGGAGGGGGGGAGGGAAATGTTACGACTTCTCTGACATTTTCGTCCGTTTGCCCGGAGGGGGGGCTCATCGGCGCTGCTCCTGGCTGAGGAGGGCAAGGGCGCCTCAAGGTTATTGAGGAGAGGGTCAGCATGGGGCTGCTCGGAACCTGATCAACGCTTGCTGTCTCCTCTGGACGAGAGGGAGAGATAGCCAGTTGGGTAAAGGTGGGATTCAACTCCGTCCCAAGTACAGCGCCCCCTCCTTTTCCCCTCGGGGTTTTCGACCTTGTCCCGCTTCTTCAAGTCATCACCGCCATGCTCCTTGCCAATGGGGAAGGTCAAGAGCCCGGCTATGCGTGACGCGTGTGCGCAGACCTCAACATTTGCGCACAATTACTGTATACATGGGGGAAATTTTGGTATGCATTTGTGATTGCATTTCTTAAAATTTCCTCGAACTTTAAAAACGCGTACGAAAACAATTTTGTCGTGATACGGAAAGTGGATCAATTGACCGTGAAAGCGACGCTCGTGATAGGGATGGGGAGAAGAGGAGAGAAAGTGGAGAGACCATGAGACGCCCTTGGCTCAACACGGCAGTAAATTCTCATTTAACAAATCGTATTCCGACGACTTGGATTTTGTAGTTTGGGTCCGGGCGAGACCGCTCTCGGCTCACCCGGCTGCTGCCTGGCAGGTCCGCGGCACGCGGCTGATGCCGGCGGATTAGAGTATTAGAGTTTCCATGGGCCCCGTGCGGCTTTGCGAGCTAATTCAATTCTTTAAAAGACTCCTTTATCAATATTGCTTTTTTGTTGTAGCATTTACACTCATATTAATCTTTAGCTTAATGAGTCATTTGTAAAACGAAAAACAAAGTGTGAAAAGATGAATTAACAAGAATGTTTCCCTTAGCTACTTAAAATAACCTAAGGCTGCAAAAGGAAACAAGTTTTACAATAAGTACGGGAATCGTCGCAAAATCTTTTCAGCCACAGTATGTGTCGATGGGGTCGTAAAAAATGAAAAAGTTAAGATTTCCGAACCCGAGGGCCGGTTACCGGCAGGGTGCAGAGGCAACCGCGCACGAAAAAACACACACAAAAAAACGCCCATCGCGAAATGAAATCGATGCCGTTGGGCGGACTCTGTGCAGTCAGTCGCCCTGATCCGGTATATGGGTCGCCATTTAGAGAACAAAAGGGGCGGGCGCATCACACTTGTGTCCGCGACCCGCGCCCGGGCCAATACGGGGACCACTCGACGCCCCACTCGAACGGCTCGAAAAAGAGGAAAAAATGGCGAAGTGGCCGCGGTGCTCGTCGTGGCCCAGGCCGATTAAGGTACGACTCGGAGCGAGCGCCAAGCCGAACCGACGACCCCAGCCGAGCCGAGGGGCCGAGCGGAGCCGAGCGCCCACATTGCGAATACATCAAAAAGCCATCACGGCCCGGCCCGGTTGTGTCTGCCCGCTGATGGCCCCCTGTGCCCCCGAGGCTCCTCCTGCCCCCCCCCCTCCCCTACCTCACCTCAAACAGCCCGCGGGCGACCCTCTGGCAGGTGTTCCGACCGGCTGATCGTTTGATATACGCCCCTTTACTTTTACCCCCCGACCCAGCCGTCGCGGTGCCCTGGGCAGCACGTAGCAGGGAGGCCTCCGCCCGCCCGAGCCACGTGGAGGCGAACGCGAAACGTGATCCGATGATCGTACCTCCAAGGATTGCACGAATAATAAATAGGAAGGGACAATTTTCTAGGAAGAAATATAAAATGTGCCCTTTCCAATTCAGATACACTGAAAACGAAAGTGTGTGAAGGTCGCACACGTGCAGGCAGGCGTGTTAATGCCCATTTGTACACTTAAGGTATTGCAAGATCTGAATTTTACTTTGGAAATGTGCCTCTGTGCGAATGGCATTCACACACCTACAAATGTGCGACATTCACACACTTGGGTTTCCGGTGTATACATGTGCCGTTTGATTTGTGCATTTCTTATGTTCAAAGTTTTAGAGAGTAATCAAGAGAGCGTAAATAATCTGCAAAAAAAAGAAGAAAAAAAGGAGAAGTAGGTGAAAATAGGGCTAATCTTGCTCGTCTGGAAGGTTAGCAAGATTACGCGGTGCGGTGTCTGCGGCTGGTGTGCGAGAGCAGATCCCCACCGCGCGAATAAATCATCATTAGGACTGCAGCGCGACGCGACGGCGAGACTCGGAGCCGGCAGAGCCGCACCGCGCAGTGTCACGTGTCGCCGAATCGAGAAAAGCGGATCAGAGCAATTTGTATCAAGGGTGAATGTCTGCCGCATCACAGTGAATAACATCACCCTTTTTTTTTCGGCGGTAAAAATATTAATTCTCTTCAATTCTTTCACTTGAACGTCCGGGCACTTCAAAAAAAATAAAAATAAATAAAATTAAATAAAACATGAAATTATATTTCTATGGTGGGGTAGAGCGGTATAGTAGGGGACGCCGGGGACGGAGCCGGGGACACAAGCTTCAGTGCGAGCAAGAGCGCAGGCGGGGAGGGGGAAGGGGACGGGAACGACGCAGGTGGAGGGAAGGGAGTCGTGTGGGAGTGACTGGGAGCAGTACCCGGGAGGCAGGGACATTGCCTTAGGCAGCTGACACTGCACGAGAGACAAATATCAAACAGCGACGCGAAACAAAACCTGCTTTAATGAATGGGTCGGCGCAAGAATTAATATTCCGCCGTCCGCCCGACGTGACTTTATCATAAATCATTCGAGTGGCTTGTCTCGGCCCCCCGAAATAAGAAAACTCCCCCCTCACCCCCCTGCAGGGTTGCACGGCGGGAGGGGCAGATGTGTGCGACCTCGCCGTGCCATCCTCCTCCTCCTCCTCCTCCTCCGTCACGCACCGCCCTTCCACAATAATTCAAAAACGTCCGTCGTCTGTCAACAGCGAGGGGGGGGGGGGCTTTGTTAGCGGGCCATTCTGCACGCCGCCCATCACCGTCGTGTGCGTACGGGGGGCGTGGCGGGACCTGGAGGGGCCCGCGGTAAGGCGGGGCGGGGCGGGGGAGGGGGAGGCAGGACGGGGCGTGGCGCCCATCACACGGTATGGAATACCGTCATTATGGGGGGAGCGAATCAGAGGGCAAAAACATCCGCATCTGCTCCGGCGGCCGATCGGATTATCCAGTTAATTAATAGAGGGGCCCTGGCACGAGTCGTGGCGAAACGGGGGAAGGAGAGGGGGCCGGGTTGTCTCTCCATTCCCAGCTTTTGGGACTACACGGCGGAGGACGCCCCCTCGCCATCCTCCATTCTCTCTCTCTCTCTCTCTCTCTCTCTCTCTCTCTCTCTCTCTCTCTAGCTTGTCACCCTGCTCGCGGTTATTCACACTGCGCGGCGTGGTAAATAATGCAGGCGGTCTGGTCGCTGTGGTGGGTGGATCCACAAGCACCGCGAGCTGCCC